ATCAATGTTTTGACTATTACGACAAATAGGGACTTATTTGTAAGAAATGCATACTGTTTAAAACACATTCAATTTTATATTTAACACATTATATTGATCTTATTTGCATTATGAGTTTATTTCAAAAACTGCTGTTGTACACAATGGTTTAAGCAATAAACTCTGTATGCTTTTATTCACAGTCCAACTTTTAAAAAATATTTTATAATTAAAAAATGAAAATATTTTTAATCAAAAAAAAATGTTTGAATAGTTTGGTCAGGTCTGTATTACTGAAGCTACAGGTCAGAAGAAAGCAGGAGCCTTTTCGAAGTTGTAAATAAAAGAAAGATCACTGGAGTAAGTTTTACAAGAAAATACTATTTCTTTCTTCAAAGAAGTCTTCCTTCTTCAAAAATATATGTTTAATTCAATGTACTACTATTGTGAATGGATAGTGAAAATAAATAGTGATAATGTTTTTAAATATTCTGCAAAACTATGAATCTAGTAGTTTCCAGTAATGGCCAGCCTGTGAACACTGGGGAATTATGCAAAAGATACTTATAGCAAACTTATTGTGAACTGGTGTTTTAAATTGGATATGCCCAAGTGATGTTTTTATTCACAAAAATACTTGTTAATATCCACACTGTAAGGCTAATGTTGCTTTGTTGAAGTGTAAAGTCACAGCTCTGAAGTATAATGTCACTATCAATGTGGAAAGCTTTTGGACCAGACTTTATTTGCATGACTTTATTATACAGTATATTCATATAAATACATGTAGTCATTTTTCCCCTAAATTTATTCTTGCAGGTTATTCAAAGAAATTCACATTAACCAGAATGTTTATAAAGCATGGCATTCTTGTTTTTTATCTTTTTTAATGCTTTATTTTCTTTGTTTCCTAACACCAGATATTGCTTCAAAAAGAGACATTAAACACTGTAAATACATTTCTTTCTCTCCACAGAGTATTCCAAGAGAGTATACCAAGGTGTCAGAGTCAAGCACACAGTCAAAGACCTTCTTGCAGAGAAGCGATTACGACAAACCAATGCACCTCGATTCAGTGTAAGTTAGCCATCATTCTCACCATCTGGTCTGATTTTCTTACATATTATCTTGATCATCCCATATCCAGAAGTGTTTTGCTCTTTTCGTCTTTTGCTTAGACAGTATCTAAATCCAAGAACTTTACATTCAAGCAAATATGTGACCCTGGACCACAAAACCAGTCATAAGGGTAATTTTTTTTTTTATTATTGAGATTTATACATCACCTGAAAGCTGAATAAATAAGTTTTCCATTGATGTATGGTTTGTTAGGATAGGACAATATTTGATTAGGATACAACTATTTGAAAATCTGGAATCTGAGGGTGCAAAAAATCTAAATACTGAGAAAATCGCCTTTAAAGATGTCCAAATTAAGTTCTTAGTAATGCATATTACTAATCAAAAATTAAGTTTTGATATATTTACGGTAAGAAATTTACAAAATATCTTCATGGAACATGATCTTTACTTAATATCCTAATGATTTTTGGCATAAAAGAAAAGTCGATAATTTTGACCCATACAATGTATTTTTGGCTATTGCTACAAATATACCCCAGCGATTTAAGACTGGTTTTGTGGTCCAGGGTCACATATAAGTGTAAGATATCTCTCACACAGCGACACTGTTTAGAGCATCCATGCTTGTCATGTCCTTGTTACTTTTAAGAGATAAATATCAGGTACACCTGCCAAAATCAGATCTACCTTCCTGAAAGGGGACAGACAGGTATTGTTACCAGTAGACGGTTAAACCCAAGCCTTAACTGAGGTTATCACTGAGGGATTTGCTACAAAATATAAAAGAACAGACAGTCCTTGTGCTCTAGTGAACTCTGGCTGCAAGTTTTTGTCTGCTTTTGTTTTGTTCGGTGTCCTTATTGAAACTAATGGACCAGTCGGTTCATGCAAATGCCTCAGACGAGGTGGTTGGCCTCAATATATATCTGAACAACAGACCAGCAAAGAGATACACATTACATATTCTACATGATGAATAAAAAGCATTAGTTCATTATTGAAATAAGTTAACTACTATAACAATTCTATTTACAGAATATCCATGAAAAGTGCCTCTATGAGCGGCATGTATTGACTGTGAGTCTCTGACAAAGAACGATATCTACTAAACAAATTAACTTAATTCCACTGCGTTCTTCCCCGGCACGGCGCAGAGTCAACTGGGATGTGTTCCTAGTCATCCAATGATTTCTTTAGATCCTTGTGGCAAAATCTCATGAGAAGAGCACACACTCCACCAGAGGGAAGTGTACATTTAGAGCGAGGGGGGAGCACTGTTGTGACACTGGCAAATCATATTCAAATATCCTCCCACATGATTTGCCTGGCTTTCAACAGAACAAGCACTAAAACTTGCGCCTTCCTGTCTTTTTCTCCATATTCTCACTGGCTGTACAAAGCAGCCCACCGGGGGTTCTGTGTTTCTCTTCGCCTTTATATTGTAGGGAGATTCATTACATGCCATCTTCTTAAGTGAAGTTTATGAGAAACACACATACATGGACAGACTGTGTTAGTGTCAACTGACTCTCTAACTTTTTTGGTTTTCAGACAGGCAGCAGTTCCTCTCAGCCAGCTTTTGTGCCAATGCCTGGTGAGTCCGTCTGGTAAAGCTTATACACTCCTAGATCTAATCAGATAAGACAGGTGTGCTCAGTGAGAGGCTAATTCATCTTGAATCAGGGTGTTAACAGAATTTCCTGCTTCCTCTTGCAGGGTCGCATATGCTTCCTGGTTACTACAGTATGCGAAGATCCTTCCTCCCAGACTCAGAGCTCTGCCATCCCATGAAGCAGTACTCACCAGACACTTACTCTTCAGCGCTGGGAAGCAAGGCCTTCTCATACGACCACCCCTCCTCTTACCCTTCCTTCATTGACAGCTACTACACTCCTGATTCATATGGAGATTACAGAGGGCCAACATCTTATACCACCAGCGGAGGGTCACTGTTTCCACCATCTACATTACCAACACTACTACCAAGTCTGTCTGGAGAGACATCGTCACACTTGCATTTGGTATTCACACTTCCTGCAGCTGATATTATTTGGGTCAATGATGTATAAGAATCTCTCTAATTTATTTTAAAACTCATCTGTTAAGTTCTGTTTGTGTTCATGTTGGTTTCATATGGTTTTGAAAAATTAAAGTTTCAATTCAATGGCTCTAAAAAATATCTGTCAAGAAAAAAGTAGCCTATATGTAAGAATACACATTATTAACAAGGACATTTTTAAATATATTTTTCAAGGAATGTTTTTTTTAACAAATATAATGAATTTGTAAATATAATTTATGAATATCCTATGTTTTTTTATTTAAAACAATTTTCAGCAAGGACATATTAAATTGACCAAAAGTGACATTAAAGACATTCACAGTGTTACATAAGATTTCAAGGTTTCAAATAAATGCTCTCATAAGAGAATTTTAAAATTAAAAAAATACTTTTGAACAAACTTTTGAACAGTAGTTTACAACATAAAAAGGGTTGCACCACATGATTTTGTGGACAAACTATTTTGTTTTTTTATACAAAATTTGTTTAAAAATTTCCTCAAGAAATAATAATAAAAGATAATGCCAAACTACTACTATGTCAAACGGGTTTTTCATCTTGTTTCTTTTCAGTTGTATCACCCTGACATTTTTTACTTTTTGCTCCAATAATACATATCAAAATGAATTTTAATACAGAATTGTATTTTTGAATAAACTAATAAATAGGAGAACGTCATTGACCCCTTTTCTAAGCAAATTAATGAAAAGACTAATAAGCAATGGTGTTTCTCTGCTACAGAGAGACCCCTGGGATCAGCCATCAGAAGACCCAGTCAGTCAGTCAGAAGTCATATGTCCTGAGGGTCCAGCCTCTGTGGCAGACTCACCATCCCTGGGAGGGCCTGACTCTGGGAGTTCCTCTCCATACCGTCTATCCTCTGGACGCAGCGGAAGCTCCATCCCATCCAGCTCTCAGACTTATACTCTACAACCCTTGGAAGACGTCCCGTACCCAGCAGCATCCTACACCTCTGCTTCCAGCTACTCCTGCCCACCGTACATGACAACACCTGGAGATCTGGCTGTGGTGAAGATGACACATGTCACCACAGAGGAGGCTGGTGGTGGAGTGGTGTCTCTCAGTGACACTACATCCTGGGCTAAAGATGATGGAACTGGCTCCTGGTTGTCATATGAGACTAGGAGGGCTTTTTGAGAAGCTTAAATGACATTACAAAGACTATGGACTGATCATTTGCAATGACACAGTTTCTTTATTCTTATAGAAAAGGAGATCATAAAGATGACCTCCTCAATAAATGCTGGTCACTATACAATTTTAAACTGTTTATATTGCTCAATGATACAGCAAAAATATGTGTTAATAGTTTAGTTAATTCAGGGTTTAATTATGCATTGTACATGCCCAAGCGCTCTAGGATGAATTAGAAGCAATGCTCGCTTTTTTTTCCTTTCTTACATTTTCAATAAACCCTCGATGACTGGTCTCGAATATAATTCGCAAATAATACCAAAGAACACTCTTTAAACAACAAGCATGTTAGACTTCTGTCAGGAATGGCAATATAAAAAATAAACATGTTTTGCTTTGAAGAAAGTGTGTTATCTTTATAGAACAGAACAGAACAGCTGTTCCAAGGAGCCAACGAGCGCTGTTGTTAGGACGCCACTGCGTTGTTAAGTTAAGGCCCCCTTAGTGACAGGAGTGAATGAGGAAACAAACAGATCGCCTGTTCAAATTTATCTCACTTCAGTTAATTTATCTCTTATAAGTCATACATTTATCATGCAATTAAATGCCCAACTAATAAACAAAATATGAATGTATATTTAAAAATATACAAGTCAGAATAAGTTTTTTACTTTTGTACTAACTTTTATAAGAGCTTCTATTTGTGAGCCACAGTGTTGCTAGGCGCTTTTTGTTGTTGTTCGTCTAGACAGCAGCGCACGTCAAACTTTCTGAAGTTTGTTTTACATTTCGTATGTTATCATATTGCTTTTTCAGAGACAGTTTTTTGATCAAAATTACTTATACTAGTCTTATAGCCAACTTTAGCTTCGGGAGTATGAATCGTTAAATAGCCGTTGTTTCGCAGTTGTCGTAAGGCTCAAATGTTAAAGCCGATCTAAAAAAAAAAAAAAAAAACATGCACTAGTTTAGCCAAGATTGCCCATTTCGCCTCCGTCTGTAATGCTTTAGTTATACTGTTCAGCTGCGAAACAAGCCATGCGGAGAAAACTGCCTAAATGATATGCCTGGCTACGTGTGTCCACTTTATACTGACTTGTACTAGCTCTTTACCTGAAAGGTCACCGGACTCTTCTTCTGGGTCAAGGCCTCATCGCTGATGATGGATCAGTACCATATTTTGGAGGTTATCGGGGAAGGGTCATTCGGCCGAGTGTACAAAGGCCGCAGGAAGTTTAGCGGCCAGGTGAGCGCTGCGTGTGTGCCACGATGTCAGAAATGAACGTTATTTGCCACTTTGAACTGAATTCTGAATTTCAAGGCAATTTTTTTGAGTGTATTCCCGCCTAAATATGTAACACCATAGCATCCCCTCCATATAAGTAAAATCTCATTTGGGACTAAAAAAAGGGGGGAAAGAGTGTTCATCGCCTTAGAACGTCTGTTAACCAGAATCAAACATTCTGGAGTCTCGTGGTATACATTTGAATAAGTGACCTGACACTGAATACTAAATAAATATGATCGTAACGGACTTTATTAAAGACAGAGTCCCTCTCTGTCTGAGTAACGTCAACCCTTTTTATTTTCTAGGTCGTGGCTCTGAAGTTCATTCCCAAAGTTGGCCGCTCAGAGAAGGACCTGCGCAGTTTGAAAAGAGAGATTGACATCATGAGGGGGCTTAAGCACCCCAACATAGTGCTGCTTTTAGACAGCTTTGAGACAGAGAGGGAGGTATGATTGTCACGACCTACTCCCAAGTCACGTTACATTTTCCACTGCTGCATCTCTGTTCCATAACCTGGTGCTTCCAGTATAACGGCTTGTCGAAATGAAATATAGCTCCCAGGGTTCACAGTTTTCACATTCAAATCTCTATGGAATAATTCTCGTTGGCAAAATGTAGTTGGCATTGGTACAAATGCAGTAAGCTTGTGACGTTGATCGTCCCATGAAATGTGTAACTGGAAAAAATATTGGTGAGAAGAACAGTTAAAAAAAAAATGAATTTGTGTCAGAGGAATAATTAGAGCATGTATTCCTCTGGCAGGTGGTGGTGGTAACTGAGTATGCAGAGGGTGAGCTGTTTCAGATCCTGGAGGATGATGGGAGTTTACCTGAGAATCAGGTACATCAGTGGTCACACTGTTTTACAGTAACTGACAGCTCAACGTATTAGATTTCTATCATTCCTAAATACAGAATTTATTCATGCTGCTGTGTGATGCGAGAGTTATCTAGGACCTGGTTCACATTTAGTATCTTTCTACATTTTAAAAGCTAATAATATAATCACTGATGCATATAACAGTTAAATTATGCCATACAAATTTGAATAAACATCATAACATTTAGCCTAGAGTAAATGGATTTTTGAAAAATGCATATAGTGCATCACTTTTATTTCTTTGATTTGATGATATGCTGGATTTTTTTGCTGCTCTTACCTCCTAACAGGGACACACTCACCTGCTAACCTGTTATTTTATATCTTGTGTAGGTGAGTGAAATAGCCTGCCAGCTTGTTTCTGCCCTGTATTATCTGCACTCCCATCGCATTTTACACCGTGACATGAAACCACAAAACATCCTGCTGGGAAAAGGAGGAGTAGTAAAGCTCTGTGACTTTGGGTTGGTGTTGACAGTTGGTGCAAGTTCAAACTACTTCAGTAACTCTGTATATATATTTATTTTTCCACGGCTAAAAATAGTGATGGATTCTAGTTTTTGAGGAAGCGTGTCTTGGCATGTGTGAATTAAAGCAGAGTGGATGCATACTTTTCATCCTAATGTGATCTCTAATAGCATAGTGGTGTTATATTCTCTTGACTCTTCACAGATTTGCTCGTGCCATGAGTGTGTCCACCTTGGTGTTGACCTCTATTAAGGGGACTCCTCTCTACATGTCTCCGGAATTAGTGGAAGAGAAACCTTATGACCACTCAGCTGACCTTTGGTCTCTGGGCTGCATCCTCTATGAGCTCCACACGGGGGCGCCTCCATTCTACACCAACTCCATCTTTCGGCTGGTGCAGCTTATAGTGAGAGATCCAGTGAAATGGCCAGACAACATGAGCCAAGACTGCCTGGTACAGAGAAGGTTGCTTTCCACATGACCACCTCTGACTCTGTTTTGAACCAAATTAGACTGATTTTGATTTAGTGTTGGCACAGAGATCCAAAAAAGTAGAAGTGTTACTTTATGTCAGTATGTGCTGGTTTTGGTAACGTTAAGTGATGTATAGTATATAATACACAATTTAAAATCCTTTACTTTAATTGTTCTGTCTGTGGGTTCTCTTAATGTAGAGTTTTCTGAAGGGACTGCTGATGAAAGACCCAGAGAAGAGGTTGTCATGGCCTGACCTGCTTCATCACCCTTTTGTTGCAGATGGAGTTTTGAGTGAGGACTGTTTAGTATTTTATCATCATATGAAATTGTATTTTCTATGTACACACACCTGCAAATTGAAATCAGTATTTTAATATAGTTTATATTTAACTGAATACAGATTATTTTTAGTTTCTGTATATTTATGGCAATGTTTTTAGAATTACTGTTATAGTTTTTATTGATATTGTAAATTGGCTTTTATTTTTATACTTTCAGTTTCATTTTAATTGTATTAAAATATTCGTTTAAATCTTTGATATTGCTATGTGCTTTTGTTATCTTTTTATTGTTATCTTTTATGTCCTTTTTAATATTACTATTTAGGTTTATTTTAGTTTTAGTTCAATTTGAGTTTTTATTTATTTTCAGTTAGTAATTTTAGTGCTTCAACTTAAACTAAACGAAAATTACAAATGTTGCTTTTGCTTTTCATCTCATATTTAGATTTGATTTTATTTCAGCTTTATTTCAATTAACAACATTTTTTAAATAGTTTTAGTTAACTGTAATAATGCTGATCTATGGGAGAGATTCGGTCCTCTCAAAAGTGAAATATATAAATCTATCCTCCTATGAACACCTCTGCAAACATATACAAATGAATTAACTAATCAAATATGAAACAACTTTTACATAGATTTGACATAATCTACATCAGTCCTTCATCGCAGTATGATGTAGTTTGGATCATGCTGTTTGCTTTGACAGCGGTGTCAGACGAGGGTTCAAGCAACCCTCTGACAGTCCCACCCAGCCTGGACCTACAGGCCCTGAAACACCAGCAGGCTGCAGAGAAGACAACGGCACGCGGTGGAGAGGGCAAACTACTGTGCAAAGCTAGAGAGCTACGAGAGAAAGAGAAGATTTACAGACAGGTAAACAACTGGGAACAACAGCACGCATAAACAAAGACGTTTGTCCTGGCTCGTTTTCTTGAAGTTTATGAATCTGTTTTTGAGATGTCTTCCCTGTCTGGTTGATTTAATTTTTGCAGTAAAATTAACTTTATGTAAATTAAATCATTGCTATTGTTGTTGGTGGGATTTGTGCAAATTGGACTATTTACAGTATTATGGAATATGGAGAAAATGTGCAAGCATCTGAGAAGAGCTTTGAAAGTATCCATTTGAAATAATAAAATTGTGTTGGGTCTTGTCTTACTAGGAGATTGGGAGTGGAAGTGCTGTGCGTGCCAGTAAGACAGCTTCTGCTGGAGGAGCCCCCACCACTGGCCACTCATTGGGCAGCACCTTTTCAGTGGATCAAAATTCATCTCAGCCAGCAACCAATCAGCATCAAGCAAATGACAACAGTGTTACCAGGTAGTATTTCCATCTAGAATTTGAATTTGAAAACCTGCCAGCCTCAACTTAAAAAAGGGTATATTAACAATGCTGTTGTGAGAGTGAAAATTATGTTTTGACCAGCGTGAAAGAATGAATATATTATAAAACCAAATGTAGAGAACTAAAGTAGTCAAAAGGCTGTTTAAAACAAGAATAAAAGATATTGTGAAGAATCATATTACTAAAAGCTAAAAGCACATTGCAAGAGCATTATCATATGTACATATATCCTGTAGAACTAGCAAACATAAAATAACTCTTAATGGCCCTCTTACGCATGTTTTTGTTTCATAAGAGGACCAGAAAAAACTTTTTATCGCAAGTATATTTAAATAATTTTTTTTATTGATTTGTATATACAAATTTGTTTAGTGTTTTTTCCTCAATTTAATTTTATAAAATATATGTATTTTATTATATCGTTTGTTGAATGTTGAATCTGTGTCTGCCATGAAATAGCCTATGATGCTGATATGGCAATAAATACTGTAATACAACAACAACATCCCCATGTACCCTTTTGTTTTTAGAGTGCGCTCAGCTCCACATAAAGGCCAGATCAGTAGAGACTATGAGAGGGAGTTCCCTTCGGTTGAAGTGGGACCCCGGGAAGTTCTGAAGCGCCCTGGACATGCACGGACCAGTCTGGCTTCTGTCAGGATGGACAGTGAGGTTGTTATTGAAATAATTTATAATAATATTTATAATGTGAATTTAATTGCAGCAAACTGCTAATATCAGAACTGTCACACATTTCTCCCATTAAATGTAACATCAAGGAACAAGATATCGACAGTGATTATGAGTGGCAACGATTGATTGAAATAAATGAACAGGGCCCTGTAAACACTTCCATTCTTCAGAAGTTAAAAACCAGGTTGCTTGTAACCAAAAACCAGGTAATGTTCTGTTAAATGCCACAAGACATTTGAACTTGGTAAGTGAGTGTGATTTGGTGTTTAAAGACTGACTGATCTGTCTAGCTATTGGTCAGCAAAGGTGAAGAGGCCCCTTCAGTTCTACAACCACTGAAGATCCTCAGGAACATTGTTCAGAGCTGTCAGTGTGGTGATGTTGAAACACTGGGCAAAGAGTTGGAACTGCCTCATCTACTGTTCAACCTGACTGAAGACATCCTGAACATTCCAGATCTAATGCAGGTCAGAAAATGCAGATACCAATATGTTTTTCAGAAATGAATATATACATTCTATTCATATGATTATTATTTTAAACATATTTTAAAATCGTATTTTCTAATGTGATTGTATTAAAATTGTTAATTATTATTTGTGAATTAAAATGTAAAATAATTTTTTTATTATTATTACATTTTTAAAATGTAATACTTTCAGTTAATCTATGGGAGCTCATACTTGATTTCTGACTGGTTTTTATTTGATAAAGGACTCACAGGGTGAGATAGTTTTGGGAGATCTGATGAATGTTCTCATAATGTACCTGGAAAAGAGCCCGGGCTGGGAGATAAAAGGGAGGAGGTATGGATTTATGAACTGTTTTTAATGTACACTTAAAGTACACTTTTTTTCCCCCAAACTGAAATTGTTTTTACTTTCATTACTTCAGTAAATCTATTGTTCCTTTTTTTTTAATGAAAGAATATTTAGTGTTAATTGGATGACTCTTTGTTAAGCTGTTGTTATCCCAACTGCTGCTGGGCTTTTAGTGAAATTTTAATCTTAGTGTTATTTTATGAAAAATATTTTTTCTCATCAGAGCTGAGGATCTCTGTCAGCTATTTATATCGGTATTTCTCTGTCGAGACCCAAAGCGTTCAGCGGTAAGTGTCTCTAGCTGAAAGATTTTCTCTCTAGTTTGCGTCAAATGCACTTTTAAACTGGAAAAATTAAGTACAAAAATCGTAGGATGTCTGGTTTCATTTGCATTACAGTTGTGATTTTGTGGTCTCTCCTACAGCTTTTGGCAACAGCAGTCTTAACCTTGTTCACTCGCCGTGGTATATCTGTGAATGTCAGTATGGAAGGGCTTACAGCCTTTTTGGGGAATATTTTGACAGACACAGCAGAGGTACGGTTTCATTATTTATACTGTGAATAAGGGTTAACTCTGTTTGGAGTAATTAATGTCATTGACGTGATGAAATCAAGTGTAGTTATTCCCTACTCTCTTTCTCTCTTTTTCTTTTCCTCTCCCCCTCCTACCATCTGTATGCTCTCTCTCTCTCTCTCTCTCTTTCGTATAGGCACATAACCCCTTACCTGCAGGTTGGGGCATGTGTGATGGCCTTCTGTCACTGATTCTCCACAGACTATCTGAGGTAATTCCTCTCAGATCAATTCTCCTAAAATAATTAGAGAAACAGATAATCCGTTTGGCCGATTAAATGGTTTTCGATTGAATCTACAATAAATGGCACCAGTTGAAGTCTCAACTGAACAGCATCCAACAACGGTATTTACAGAAAAAGAAACTAATGTGTTACTTAACTTTTTTTAAAATCATACTGGACATTTGTTCAATTTAACAATGAGTCTAAAATATATATATTACATAATACATAAATGTATTACAAAATGTTATTATTATTGATAAAATATTACTATTACATATCCATATTTTTATTGTTGTAATATAATGATCATTTAATTGTTATTAGTTATTTAGTTAAGTCACAAAGAAATCAGCAATTAAAATCAGTTTGGCATATTGCTTATGGGACACTTAAACATAATCTGGATCACTAAAAAAGCATTGTTGGTCATCTGTAGTGTTAAAGTCACAATAAAATGGAATTAGGAACGTATCTTTTCTTCTGTACTGTACATTACATCCCAACTGATTATCAAAAAAGAAAAAAATGTAGGGAAGGGACTCGGTTTTTTTCATTGGTTGTGGTTAGAGCTCACTGAATGTGAGCTTGACTGTGGAGGGGCCTAGAGAAGTCTGTAGTTTCACCTGAAATTAAGTTATGACATTTTGACTGAAAATTACGAGGACAAAATTTAAAAAAGAAACATGAAACACATACATGGATCAGCGTTTCACTCTAAGATCAATAATATGCATTTACAAAATAGTTAGGGTGAATTTTTATTTTGTGCTGACTTTAAAGTGCTGCCTAATTGCCTTTTTTTCTTCACTGATGAAAGTGTGATAGCAGCTCACTGCTCGACTTTCAGAACTCAGAGCTTTGGCCCTGCTTGTGGGCTAAAGTAAACACCACACTGGAAACCGCAACGCCCCAGAGTTGCCTTTTTTCTCCGAATGGTACTGAACCTCAAGAGAACATTCATTTATTTCTATATTGCAGCTTTAATGTACTAGTAATTTAATAATATATATTTATCTCTGTTTTTTCTCACAGGTCTGTACGTGTTCCTCTCTCTCGCTTTATTGGTTTTCTCCAGCGATTCGTATAACTGTGTGGCTCTCCTGTCGGATAACTCCACAAACTGCTCCTCTGCCCTCAGCCACTTTCTCACCACCAGTTGGTGAGCTTCAAACTTTGCCTTTAAATCTTACTAATGGTGTCAAACAGTTTTTCACTGTTCGTTTTTATATTAGTGTTTATTTGAAGTGCATCTCTCAGAGGTTTACAGTATATTTCTCTTTTTATAGTGCTGCATTGCTTGAGCGCGGTATTTTCTGGGGTGACTCAGAAATAAGCAGCCTATCAGTGATGAGCTGTCAACTTCTCTGCATCCCCTTCTCTCTGGAGTTACCCTTAGAAAAACTTCTTTCTGTTCTCAGATCGTATCAAAGCTCAAATATTGTGGCTGGTTTAGTTCAGGTATGGTTTGATACAATTTTCAGTATTTAAAGGGGTGGTTCACTGTTTTTTTTTCTAGGCTTGATTGTGTTTATGGGGTGCAGTCTAACATGTGTTAATGCTTCGTTTTTAAAAAACGCATTATTTTTCACATAATTTACCTTTATTCCACACCGCTCTGTCCCTTCTCTGAGAAACGTGCTGATTTTTTTCCTGTTTTTATGAAGCCCCTCCCTCAGAAATAGGCGATGAGCTCTGATTGGTTAGATGGCCCAGTGTGTTGTGATTGGCTAAACCGCCTCTAGCGCTAATCGTCCCGCCCCTCACCTCAGCGGCATGTGCTCCGGTTGTATTGTATACAACGGCATCGCTAATATCGCTTATCAGTTTGAGCCCAATCAGAGGATATTATTGAAGAGGATCGTGCAGAACCTGTGCAAGCATGGCTTTTAATGGTAGGCCTATGTTTTTTGTTTGTTGTTGTCTCATACTTTTAGATACACTGTTATTTGTAAATGCTACTGCTTATGTTAGCTTTTAATATATGGTTTTATACTGCTTAAAGCTTTAATACAGTACGGCAACTGCATGCGCGTCCATGTTTAACGCTTCTCATAGCTATGTGAAAATAAGTGTATAATTGTAACAGTTCATTGTTGGAGGTGAGCTGAATGAGAGAGAGAGAGAGAGAGAGATAGAGAGAGATGCAGAGCGTGTGCAGAGCAGCGAACGCGAGGAACAGTATTAAGAACCGCTGCTTTAGAACATTGATTTTGAAACTTGTGAATCCATTAGAATCGTTAGAAGACAGAATCGTGATTCATATATGAATAGATTTTTATGTGCACCTCTAGTTTTCTCTTCCTTTTCTCTAAAGCAGCGCAGCATGGTCTCGCCCCTTTTACTGGCTTTTCCCGAGGGCGGGGTTTATCTGGGTTTGTGATGTCACGAACCCGGGAAGTAACTTGTTGTAGTCCCTACCAGTCGTTTTTGTAGGCATTAAACTGCCAGAATTTTAAAAGACGATATCTCCGTTTGCATTGAACTTTCAGCTTCGTAACTTTGCAGATATTGTTTATGCTCAAACAGCAACATTACACACAAACTAACGTTAAAAAAGTGAAATCGCAATCAACCACCCCTTTAAGTATTTCAGACGGATGATGTGTCGGTCCATTGGAATATCGGAAATGTAATTATTGTTTTTTTTTTTTGTTTTTTTGCTGACTTGTCTTCTTGTTCAGATGATTCAAACTCTTCCTGTTGCCCTGGTGGAGCTTCCACTGTGTCTTCTGAATCGTCTACTGCTATCTGACCCGCAGCACACCGCTCCATGCCTTATCACTGCAGCCCAGGCCACCTCTTTCCTCCCTTACAGCACAGAATGCTCAGACAATAGAGCAGACCACACTCAGAATCAATTTAACCACTTCGGGAATGGTGTGGAGCAATTTAAGAGCAATGGAATTGCAAAAAAAAACAAGATAGATCATAACAAAGGTGACATCAAATCAAAGAAGAGGTTAGAGCAGCTCAAAGGCAATGTAGATGCATCTAAGGAAAAAAATTATTCTATAAAGACTCAATACCAGTCATCCAGAAACAAGAATGAGAAGATCAGAGATTTGGCAAAAACCAAAATATATCCACAGAAGACCATGGACCATCTAAGAGATAAAATAGAGCAGCAGAGCAGTTGTATAGAGGAGCTCATGGACAGTTTGGAAATCCATGGCAGTTCTGTAGGGCGTCTCCAATATCTCTCATCTCAGCAAGGGTGCAACATCAGCTGGCTTATAGACAGTCTGGAGGAGTTAAGAAGTTGTGATCACCCCAAGGTCTCCAAGGCTAAAATTCGATCCTCACCAGAAGAGGTCAGAACAGCAGGTTCTCTGTTGGCTGTTTTGCTACAAAGTGAACTTCTCAGTGGGTGCGCAGTGGAACTCCTTATCCTTCTCTCCCACCTAACACGTCATCTCACCCATCATTCTTCCTTCTTTCTTCCTGTTGAAACCACTCAACTGCAGTTTGCATTGCGCCACCGAGATGATGGAATCCGAGCGGCCTGCTGTGGCTTACTGGGCAACCTGGGCTCAGGTGTCAGGCAGGTCATTGGTAAATCAAACTTTGACTTATTCCAGGACCTGTTAGGTTGCTTGTGCGATCTTGCTCCATCCGTTCGTAGGGCAGCTTGCAAGGCGGTGGGAAACTGGCTGAGTGTAATGAGAAAAACCGATCTAACTATTTCCAATAAAGTTTTCAAGAATACGACTGGCATTAATGCCTTGTCGGTACAAGACAAATTGAAGAGGACACCAGCAATGGAAGGCATCAGACACAGTGAGAGAGACGTATGGATGGAGCTGGCCATGGGAGCTGCTCGTCCCCTCGTGTCTCTGCTGTCAGATGCTGATAATGTCATTCGACAGCACTGCTGTGGGGCCTTGGGTAACCTGGCTGCTTTTGGCGGAGGGAATGGAGCACTTCTCAATGCAGATGCTCCAGGCTTGATTCTCCAAACTGCCTGTAATGATTCCCATCATGCAGTGCGTCGGGCGGCTGTGGCCACTCTGCGTGTGTTTAGCCAACAAAACACATTACTGCAGGTAAGAGCAGTGTGAATCAGTTTTGGCTAATATATTTAGATGTTTGGCGTATATATTTGTGGTGTATATTACACTTCCGTAAAATTTCTAGTTGTGCAAAGAGTGCTGTTCTTGGTGAATTGTATTTAAACACTGAAAGAAGATGAATATAGAGACGATTTTGTGCTGTATTGCATCATTTTGACAATTGTGCAAAAAAAATTGAAAGACAAAGCTGGTCTAAAACGACAAAAAATCCTTACTGTCATTTTCACATTTTTCCCTTCCTTTCCTCAAGGCTCTGAGGTCTCTAGATGCAGGAAGAAAACTCTGTCGCACATCCCAAAGCTCTTTATTTCAGAGGGATTATCAATGGCTTGTCAGCAAGTTGGACGGAAGGAAAAACATAAAACATCAGCCTCATAGTTTGTGTGTAAGAGAGAGGATGTAATTTCACATTATTTAAATATGGATTGCTGGCTGCTTCTGTGGCTGGGAAAGCTTTCTTTTTGTCTGTATTTATTTGATCTGTGATCAAAAGAGTTTGACAGAAATTGAATCTATGTGTTTTGAGAAAATGGCAGTAGCTCAAAAACATCTTTAAAAAACATTGTATCTTACAATTTAGTAGTATATCAAATGTAAGGGTTTTTTTTATTCAGCAGCAAATGTTTGCATTTTTGATTCACACAAGTTATATTTAAGACTGCTGAAGTTGTTTGCGCTTTTTTTCTGTACATAACTAAACTGCACTTGTAATTTTATGATGTGACTATTTTGCAGGCTTAATTGTTTGGATTTATTATTTGCAATTATTTTGTAGAAATTAAGCCCTGCGCAAAAACAATAAATAAATCAATTGTAGGCCTATCTATGTATCGGAAAAATTCGGTGAAGTGTTTCCTAAAGGATATAGCCTACTGTAATGTCGTAAAAGTACGTCTTTACAGGGGGAAATAAATGTGAAATCCGGTTTCCATTAGCCTATACAAATCCTTAAATACATGAATAAATAGAATTGCATATAAATGTGTCTGACGTGTGATTTTTAGTTTCGCTTTTTGTCTTGACTTGACAAATCGTCTTACCCTGTCAGTTTAATTTGTTATTTTTTTCTAAGATGGCTATTTTATCTGAGATTGCTCGACATAAAACATCCAAACGTTTAACTTTTCAAACGTGTTTGTCAGAAAAGCATTTTGACGTGTATCCGAAGTACGCAACCACATGTTTAGGAAAAATGATTTTATCTAAATTAGGCTATATATTATAATTATTATTATTTCAGATACGTATAAAATAAACTTACCAGTGAAAAATAAGATTGTTTGACAGACGTGAAACTTACTAAACGAACACTAGCCTATAGTGTAAAGCATTACAGGCCTATAGCGCGCAAAGTTTAAGCGCAGTCTGCGCAGATTTTCTTTTTTTTTTTTTACCAGTTGTAAAAACCCTTAAAACGTCACTTTAAAGATACTTCGAAAGATTAGTACATTTAAAATAATTGGGGGAAAGGGAAAAGTGAATTGTAGCGTGTGAATCAAATTAATTAGTTTTTATAGGCTACGTGATTATTCACATGTCCTCTAAAATGACACTTGTTCTTAACACTCAAGCACAGAAATATTTCATGGTTATACTTTAAATTAGTGGCCCATACGAGCTGTCTGATGATATGTGATCATGTTTCCGCCTCAGTGTGTGTGAGAAAAAGACGAACATCAAGACCATATTTAAATAGGCTACTGTTTAGTAAAAGTAAGAGAAGTAGGCTAGCCTATTGAACAATAAACACCAGGGACGATCGGTGTTCAGAAACTATAAATAACCGGACCCGTTAAAATGGCCTCGAAATAAATATGAATGAATCAACCAACCGCTACACAGAAATAAGACTTTTGACAGGAATAAAAATATATATTATTTTTTTCTCTATTTTCTGCTCCTTGTACATTTGGTACAAGAAAACTCTTGTACCAAATGTTTACTAATCCAAAACTACTATCATGACACAAAAAGAAGAATTGAAATCTACAGTTAATAATAAAACACAAACGTCTCAATATACTTAGACATCCTACATTGCCTATAATAATCGTGTTAGGCTATTCTTTTTCATTCATTTTTTCTCCCTCACACACAGGTAACTGACACTCTGTGGAATCATTCGAGTTTCTTTTTTCCTTCACGTCGTGCATTAGTGAGGACAGGGAATAGCACTGCTCCATATATTTGGCTTTCAAAGCTGTAAACAATTTTCCGGCCAAACAAAGGATAAACTCCGTTTATCCGTTAAACTCAAGGTCTACCGATTAAGCTCTAAAAATCTCACATGAAGCCATCATCGCCAAAATGCACTGCTGCTGACACAAATCACTTTATTTGAATTCAATGAAATAACAGGAAACACAAAGTAATTAATCAGAGACGATACATCGAAATGCCTCGTACAAAATGACTAGTCTTAGTATTCTAGCTGGTGTAAACTCTTGGAAATCGTGTGCCTTCATTTCGGGTTGTTAAAAAAAAAAAGGAAAAGAAAATTCTCAACTTCACAAAATGACCGTACAACACAGCGCATAATTAGCTATATTTCACAAACATGATTGTATACCGCCAAGGAAAGCATATTTTAAGTCGATATGCTAAGCTCTCAGTATCTAGGTTGCTTATGTAGAGGAATTAAATGATATTTGTAATATTGCTACGTAGTAAGGTACACACCACACTTCGGTAAAACATGCCATAAAAGAAACAAATAGAAAGAAAAAAAAGAGGAACTAATCAAAGCCCGATTTGCAGTTGATTTCTTTGTTATTGTTGTAATTGTAATTAATGCATGTCTCCTATTCCAGCAAGTAGAAAATCAGAGTCACTAGACAGGTAACCAGAATAAACTCCTGAAATTTACTAAATTGTAAACCGGAAAATCATAACATCTGTCAAGGATTGTGCATGATTGCAAATGCAATAAATAAATAAATAAATAAATAAAAATAATAACTTGAGTCATTTACATTGTTGATGAAATATTGCTAAGAAGTTGGGAAGTCTGCAATTCTAAAGCCACCACAATCATTTCAGTGATTATTAAAAAAGCCATATCACTACAAAGATTTTACTTTCTGTCCCCCAACACACACTTGTAACATTAGAGCAAACAAGCTTTATAAAATCACAAACCCTGATTGTAGTCGCAATAACAGCAGAGACATTGGGCCAAACAGTAGTTTGTGAATCAAATGCCACTCACTCACTTCTAATTAAACGTGTTAGCCAAGAGAATATAAAATAGGACTTCTTAAGCAAGAAGGACTTTTGCAGTAACATATCATTCAGACGAAAGAAAAATAAACATTCTTTATAAAGAGCCATGAAATCTTCCGCATGCAAGAACAAAAATACAGGGAATCAACACACATAACATTACTAGGCAGTGCCATATCTTCAGCATTGAGTTACAAACTGACATACCTCCATGACTTTGGACATTAATCGTATACCTGAGCTGCAGGACTAATCTAAAATTGGGGATTAAAAAATACATCATCAGGTTCATTATTCCTGAGGGAAATTTATTTTGAGAAGTGCTTCCCCTGAAACTCAATATATAAGAAACAGATTGCTTTTAATATCAGTGCTCATTCCTTAATTAATATATGGAAGGAAAAAAGGAACTACCAATGTTGTACTGATTGTACATCATTAGTATTAGTACCATAAATATTGAAACTGCAAATAAATCAATTTAAAAGAAAAAACGGCCTCTGTATAAATTAAAATCAGTGCAGGTCATATGCGGAACTTGTGATATTACCTTACAGCCTTTTCTAAATAAATGAAGATGTTTGATTTTAACTTGCGTTATTCAGTTGTCAATCCTGAACAGTAAACGCTCTGAGCCGTCAAGCCACTCTTGAGAAACGTAAGAGAAAACAATAAAAAGTGGCTGTCATTACAGTCAAAGACATAATCACAGTGCATATTGACTGATTTGGAGTTATTTCTGAGAAAGTGGATGTCTGTGCTGCAGCGGTTGATGGACTTTGTCAGTTTGTAACGAAAATGAAATGATTGAGTAACGTGCAATAGTACAACCTCCACCACATCCTAAAAAAAAAGACACATTCAGTCAAAAAACAACTCAAATCTCCATTGCCTTTCAGACTGCTAACAATTCTACTTGCAGGACCATTGTCAGGTGGTCGAGCTTATGGTCAGGCACTGGTTTCCTGTTTGAGGCGTTGGCTGCGGGCCTTGTACACCTCAATCAGGAGGTCTTTCACGTACTGGATCTCCCGCTCCACTGATTCTGCCTTGTCCCGTAGCTCACGGTTTCTACCCTCCAGACCATGAAGCTGTTCCTCCAACGAGTCCAACTCCACTCGCTTCTTTTGGCGATACCTGTTAAAAAATGATTAATACAGAGGAAAGTCAGTTTTACTTACAAAAGTTGTGGTCTTTTAAATCCCACAAGCAGCTACTTCGTATTGCCCGCAGGCATTGTAGTCTGAAGCATAATACAATTTTGCCTCTATCAAGTATTTTGTACTTTCATGACTAAGTGTAACTCCAAAACCCCACCAAATGTTCTATGCTCACTCATCTAAAATACAATTGACACCACTGTGATTCTGAAAATACCTGTGAGCTGCAGTCTTGTTCTGGTCTCTCTTCTTTTGTTTGTGTTCACCATGATTCACTTCAATTAGTGGCACATCTAGGTCTGGTTTCACAATGCAGGGGTCTTCTTTCAGCACATAGACTCCTCTGGCACACGGGGACCCCATTTCAGGTCCGTGGCGTTCACCACTCAGGCAGTCGGGGCTTTGGCCTTCGAGAAAGCCACAGTGGAAGTTATGTTGCCGGTGGATCTCAACGCTCTCCGCCTTCACTGGGTCATTAATGGCCCCAAGGAAGCTGTGGTAGGCCTCTTCTTGGGATGAACTTTGGAGGAAACAGCTTTCGTTGGGTTTGGACTTCCAGGGAATGTTGGCCTTCACATCGCTAGCACCATTCTTGGCTTCACTCATCATTTCTATCTCCACACTTCCTCCTATGCCGTACATCATCATTTCTTCTTTCTTGTGGGGAATTTGAACGGATCCGCTAAAGTTGTACCCGCCACTGCAGCCGGCCTTGCTTGCGCCGACGGCCTCTTCCGTGTAGCGGCAGTTCTTCTCCTCTTTGGGTAAAATGGCACACCTCCTGATCTCCACTGCACTGCCTAGGCAGTAGCCTTTGCCTACCACCCGTTCATCTTCAGCACAGCTGTAGCTCCCACCAGGTGCAACAGCTGAGTTACCTGAGGAACTTCCTTTGGAACTCCAGATGCTACTCTCGTAGCTGTCACCCACCCTCACCCCATCGGAAACTCTCTTGCGGCTGCAGACGTTGCTGTTGGGGCGGCTGCAACTGTAAGGGGCATGCCTAGGAATCTTGGTACGGCCAATGGGACCCCCACAAAAGCTCAGCAAGTCAAGTTCCCCAGTTGCCAGGGTAACAAGTAGAGGGCTGGATTCGGACTGGTTGGAAGTAGAATATGATCCGTAGGGCAACTGGTAATACGACGGTGGACCAACTGCCGATGGACCCTTGTCGCATTTGCCCAGTTTGGAGGCTTTTTCTGGGAGTGGGTCAGACAGGAAGTAATCCTCCAGCTGAGCAAGCTCCTCTTGCAGCAGAGAGGTCATGACCTCCAAATCTGAGGGCACCTGGATGTCATGCTGGAGGGGCGAGGGGGGAAGGGATGCATTGGGGGAGGGAGAGGAGTGTGGGGTTGGGAGGTAAGAGGAGAAATCTACTTCTTCCGTCATCCAGTCACTAAGACCATCACCTATAGGGAAAACAGAGGTCAGCATGTTAATCATTGGCCTAGAGATCCAATGTAACAATTATTTAAACTAAATAAACTATTCCAGCAGTATTTTAAAAAATCGTTTAAAAAAATACAAATCGCATCTCAGTGTGCGTACTACATCGAAAATGCAAAAGCTAGCATTAAACTAGCATGTTATCTACAAATAATATAAAATAGATCCACGTTGGTAGTTTTACTCACTGTTCAAGGAGAACGAAATGTGCTGCAGTGCGGTGCCCACCTGAAACTGGGAAAAATAAAAAACTGTATTCACTGCAACTCACCAATTAAGTGCTGGTTCTCCTCTGGCCCCTCCCCTCTGCGCCCCTCCGATTGGCTGTGGTTAGCCTGTGGGTGAGAGAGAGTGAGGGGGTCTGCAGGGCAGACGAGTAGAGTCTTCCAAATGGGTGCTGACATTGTCATCATCCTGTCCGTTGGTCCTACGATTCAAATGTCCGAGCTTACAGTGCACGATAGTGAAGTTTGAGAGTTGAGCCACAGAAAACAGGGCTTGGTGTGCATTATGAAACCTAAAAAAAAAAAAAAAAGAGGGAAAATATGATGAAGGACCTTAAAATGCATTGCCTATGGAGATTTAGGTGTATCTGGTATCGAGACGACACTATCACAAAAACCGTGATTCATCAGTTGCTAAAGTAGGATGGAGGAAAGGAGGGGAAAAAATGTCCTAGTTGGTGGGACTTTCCATTCTAAACTTATCGTGGCTCTCCTAAAATATCTAAAAATATCTCCAACTGAACATAAATCCATATTTTCAGAGTATTAACAATGAGCGATACAGTGCAAACTGAGTAAAACAACTACAACCCTCCCATTTCGATACAGCATCAGCTAAGACACACACTTGTGATTAGCGAGGGATCAATTTAGAAAACTACCACTCTTCCATCCATCAAAGTCCCTTGTGCCCACTTAGGGGAGTTCTACTGAGATCCTAGAGAACCAGGCGAATGCTCTACTGGTGGGAAATTTATTAGCAGCCTAAATATACAAGACACACTCAAATGTAAAGCTTCTTTGGATAATATATTGGACCCTGCCAATAATAAATCACAATATCAAGAACTTTTAAAAACTTTATCATTTTAATATATTTAGTGCTGATTTCTACAAGTTATCTGGTCTATCGTTTTTCTGTATGATGCAACCCAAGGTGCCTCCAAATGTTCTAATAACCTTTGCACCTACACTCATGTCCAGTTTGTTTAGTCTAAGATCAGACACTGACAAATATTTTATACTGACAGAGACTACTTTGAAAAATGGCAAAGAGCAGAAACAAAGCTTTTTTTCTTCTGCAATCAAGCATTCTAAGTAATTTCTAGCAGTAGGCTATGGCAGGTGCAGACGCCTCTGAACTGGATGTCTGAACTTAGCCAGCACGTGGGTTACAATCTATGACGCAATGCGAAAGCGAAAAAGGGCAAATCTTCGTGAGAGACATGCTTTTTAGCAAAACGGCAATTTCTAAGAGAACAACGTCCGCAGCATGCAACATGCAACTATACATTAAAGTGGCAGATATGGATGTCAAAATGGGCATAAGAAAAAAACTGAAAGAAATAATGACTGTTAGCTGTTAGACAAACAAGTGCCACTTGAAAGTGCGTAAAAGAATGGAATGTGTGTCAAAATAAATGTGAAACATGTGAAAATGTTCATTAACTAGGTCAGACTGATTATTCTGAGATCATTCCTAATGTTGCAAAAACTGTGTAGCAACGACTGAAAGAGCTTAAGGAGTTTCTGAAACTTATCCCAATAAGCAAGACAGTGTGCATAAAACATCGCCTGAAGCACTGTTACAAGTGACAACACGCTCAACAACACTTAAACAAAAGCAATACACCTAAAAAGTACAAAGCCAAGAGACAAAACAACAAAAGCAAAAAGTAATAAGTTGTACTAACTCCATTCTTGCTGACATGTTTTGGGCTTGGGGTGCGTTGCAAAAGCAAAGCACGGCGTTTCTTTAGGATCGAAGTCTCTAGTAAATTAAAAAGCCATGTCTCCTCCGCAGTGTCTACGACTGAAATGCTGTTGGTCTTGCTTTGTTGTGATGGAGTTGATGACTGTGAATCGGCTAATTGAGTCAATGCATCAGGTCACCCACACCTAGCAACCAGCTGCGTCACGCGGTCAGTCCCCCAGTGCTACAGATTCCTCCGCCCTATGGATGTATTGGTCGAGATAAATTCACACTGCGGGCCGGTGTAAACGCCCACAATAATTAAAACTCACTTTCTCAACGACTTCCGAGAAAACACAAAATCCCCGCTAGCACGTTCCTTAACTTAAAAATAAGTTTTGAGACCATGAGAGAATATGTAATATGTAATGAAAGCGGCTGTTCGCGAGAGTTTGGATGATTATCATACAGCTGCAGTATCTGGCAATACATAAAATATTAATATCATAACACGCATAGCATACACTGCCGTTCAGATATGTATTGTTTCACAGGGACTACTTGATTTCTTCTAGCGAGGAAGAACACTTTCTGCTACCCAGGAGATGCGTGGCTGTTGTTGCAGGTTAGTTGCATCAGCGCTTCAAGCTGCTAGCAGATTCGCTGGACGGACCGAACCTGTCGTGCAGCGATTGACTGAAGAGGAACTGTTGTGTTCTCTCATTGGCTGCCGCTAGAGAGACGCTGCTTCCCAGTGGTCTTCGGTTTTCCACTCTCCGTGCACATGTTATACGTAAACATCCCGAGAGCAAATTCTAAAGTGGTTAAACTTTCATGTCGCGGAAGGGCAGTTTACGGAACTTTACTGACAAAACATTATAACGTTAGTTGTGGCGTTTGTTGATACGCGTTTTGGACGCTTTCCTCTTAAAACGCTGTACTTAGCGGTTCAGTTGATTTGTACTAAGCTCTGTAAATATCCTATTTTTATTTTCATTTAGACCGTAGGGTGATTAAATTGTGTAATCTAACGTTACATTTTGATAATATGTGCTTAAATTTGATAAGTAGACAAATGGCTTAGATTTGCTCAGATTTATTATTTTATTTAATAAAGCCGATAGATTATTTACATGTTCCCTTCATTGACTGACACTGCAGTTACTCAGAAGAGATGTAAAAGCGTCTATAATAGTGTGAAATTAACTCTACTTACTTATACTGAGTATTCTAATGGCTTGCGTGTAACAGGTGGCGTCTTTAACGTCATTATTTCCATTTTCAGCATCAGCATTTCTATAGCTGCCCTTGGGAGAAGCGGGTGTTAAATTCTGCGATCGAGCAAAACACAAACACTATCTAGCGGGAGAAAGAAAGGAGATAGTCTTTTATCCACTGTTTGCCATATTTTGACTATCCCATCTGAACTTCAGAAGGACCGCCGACTCTACATGCTGAGCTATTCGAGTCATGCGCGGTCACTGTGAGACGACACAAGTTATCCTCAAACTCACAAGTACAGCTCGTTTAATTCCCGTTAATAACGGGTTTTCAAAGAATCAAGCTTTGTTTCCCCCCTCAGCAACTCCTAAAGCTGATTGAAGGAGCTATGTCTTCCTGTTGCTATAGTAATAGCGAACACTGCCCCCTATTTTAGACGTGTTTTCTGGTTGCTGTTGCCATGGGATTTGCAACGAGCGCTCTCGCGCCCTCTTTCGGTCCGTGTTTTTCAGTGTTGTCTCTGCTGAATTTAAACGACATTCCCTGAAAAGTTACTTTAGTCTTAAACAAACATAACTGCAACAAGTGTCTTTGATTAATCGGTTTCATTGAAATTACTGTTTTGCTGTATTGTGTCGACACGCCCTTCACAGTCTATAGACCTCATAAATGTTGAGTTGAGTTGTCACAGATAGCTTTTTTTATTATGAAACTTAGCTTTTTGGTTTATGAGGGGATATGTAGGCTAATAAAACTGAGAAGGGCTAAACATCTTGCAAAAACACGGAAAAAGTCAACAGAGAGAGAGAGAAAAGTGTAAGACTGTCAGGTGGAATATTCCGCAGCTTTTAGCAGAAGCTAACGTCTTCCTCGACCTAGGAGAAATTGATTTTATTTACACTTAATAGCCCTGCGTGAACCAAGATGACACTTGCTTTCTCGAGGAGCAGTCAGAGAGAGTGACGGGATCAAAGGGGCTTCTGAAGGTACTGTGATACTGTAATTACTCTTGTGAGTCGGCTCAGCCTCGCAGTTGTAGAAGTGAGGCCTGATGCAATCTTCGTGACCGGAGTCGTAACGTTGAAGAGACTGAGATAATAATGGTTGTTGAAGTGTGGGATCTCTCCCAGGAAAGCGCTGACTCTCCCAAATCGCCGTGTCTTAATTGGTCCGTGGGGGCGCCCTGTTTGCGCAAAGCGTGAGAGAAAGTCAGCAGCAGTATACACACACACACACACACACTCGTGCACCTCAGCCACAGACTGCTCCAGTGCTATTGGGCCATCATACTTGAGTTTCTGTTTGTATTGAGATTTTTCCACCTTAAATAGCTGATGTTGCAAATAGAGATGTAGGTCCAGGCCGTGGCGTTAATTAATCACAGCTTTTGAGGATTAAAAACGCTGCTTGGAGTGATAAATCTGTTCCATTCCATAAATCCAGATGTCCATATGTGGAACAATTAAAATAAGCTCATTCAAACATACAGTTTTAGGATGCATATGGGTGATTCTATAATTGGAGATACATTTGGCATTTCATAAAGTTAAGAAAAAAAAAAAGTTCACTAACAGAAATTATTTCCAGTATCTTATTGAAAACATATTCAGTTTTAATAATTCAGTGCTTGCCAAACACCAGTTACTTCCTTTTTTTTTTTTTTTTTTACTTTTAATGAAAAAACATGTCTTTATGGTATTGTTTGTCAACTCTGTTAAGGACAAATTAGGCGATGTGTAGAAATAACAATAAATCATAAAATGAAAAATCCTTCTTGCATCATTAGACAAACAGTCCTTACATTCCAACATTTAAAATCTGAGATAATTTTTCACCTATGCATACCTTAAAAATTCTGTCTTCACAGAATTGTCCACTTGGAGCAAATATTTTTCATCTGAACATTTATTTTATACAATATCCAGTAAAAAAAAAAAAAAAGAGTAATGTTGTTGAAATATTATAAGGGTGCATCATATCTCAATAATGTTTATGAGATTTTAAACAACAATTGTATAGTTTTTTTGTGAAATAGTTCATAAACAGAGTTTCAATTTTGTTTTCCTTTTGATATTTTGGTAACAGCGTTGACGTTCTTCAAAATAACTCTTGGTATAAGAACTTTTTAGATTAAAATATTTTCTCAGCGAGAGCACAGACTTTTCAGTGCTTCAGATCTTATCGGTGAGGGAAAGTGTCATAATTTCCTGTATCTTACATAGTTGTGGGAGATAATTCCACCAATTTAAAGGCAAAATATGGTATGGTAACAGAGTTGACGCAAGATTTATGGACACACATTTTATAAGAAAAAAGTTATTTTTAAACAATTTCATGTTGTAGAATTAAGTAAATTGGTATTTAGGGCTTTTATAAATAAAATGAATGAAATATTACAAAAAGAAAAGTACAATAAAATATTTTGATTACA